ACGTACCATAGGGAGGAATATATCACAGTGATTATGGGAAACAAATGAGAGACCAGATATTGGATATCAAATCTGCAAATGAAACATATATCAAAGAAATAGACAAATAAAATAATGATTGTGATAATTGGAGAAGCTTAACTTATAGCAGTTAGGTTCAATTACACACCTTTCACTCTAACAGATATTGAGTGAGATGCCCCTAGGCTGCATTGGGCTATGTCTAAGCTAGAACAAGAAAGTCCATAAGCTAAGGTTGCTATTCTTCTCTTGATGATGACCTGGTAGGGATCTTAAAGTTAGTAACCAATGCAAAATAATCAGTCAAAGTGCGTTCAATTGATTTTGTTATATTTAATTTTCATGAGTTGAAATTTTGTTTTAAAAAATTATAATTTGGGTTTGAAGTTATATTTAAGGCAGATCGACTTACCAATAAAGCTAATGCCATAAAAAACAATGTCACAAAACTCCAGTATGGACTTGATCCTCGAGTTATAGCAGAAGCATAGCATGGGTGTCTTTGTACATCCTATTGATGTGTAAGATGAGCATATTAAGATTCCAATAATAAAGAAACGTAATTGCTCGAAGTGCACCTGACTTTCAACACTAATAAAAGATCTAGCTAGCATACCTCAGTTTATGTATTAACTTGGTGAAAGCAGTTTTTCTTTCTTTCATCTGCAATGCTGTCAGCAGAAATAATCCTCACATCTCCCTTGATGTGTAAGTGACTTAAGGCTCCTGCACAGTGAATGTGAAGTAATTGGTCAGAATAAATCAGAATGATTTCTACCTTTACTATTGATCTTTCAATTGAAAAGGGTAAAAAAATTAGGATTGAAGATGCCTTTTAGGCTGGCAGTCTCACTGGTGAAGTAATGCCATCCAAAAATTTCCAGCAGGAACTAACCCCCCTGTTTTTCTTTTTCTTTTCTTTTTTTCTTTTTTTTTTTTTTGTCTTGGGTTGCACACAGTGGGTTCCTATGCAATTCAAATTCAGGGTCTCTTATTTCCACTAAAAGAAGATTACCATTGAAGTTCCTACATAACATAAACTCAAAACATGCGAGTAATTTTAATTGCAATTCGCAAAACCAAAGACTATAACAAAGTTAATTTTTCTACCGACATACCTATATTGCTCCTATTTTGCTTCTATTTCTGGAGGAACACGCGGGTGGTAACAATGAGAACCAAATAAGAAACCAGATACCAGAAATCAAATCTGCTCCAAAAGCAACTGAGGCCAAAGAAATAGAGAAACATTAAATAATGAAAAGGAGAATTGGCAAAGCATATGCCTCTTAAAACAGATTTTAAGATAAAGAACTCTGCTTGAAGTTACCTTGATGCAGTCATGAGCTAACTTAATACAAATTTGGGTTGATTCCAGGTGCAGAAGGCAAGATTGAGCGTCCCCAACAACCTGCTGTATGATCCAAATTTTTGAGGCATGTGAGTTACTCTTATCATAAGAGCTTGCTAACTTAAAATACCATGATAGAATATTGCAGTGAGTGCCAAGATACTTAATGAGACTCATAAGAAGATATACTTAGCATACCAGAAAGATCATTGGGTGCCTGCAGCCATAAAATGCGTTCTGGTACGTTTTGTGTATGTTAATTGATCAAATGTTGAAAGTTGAAACTTTGTGATGCATTCACTTTTCGAAAGAAATGGGTAGGAGCAATTAATATGCTGCTTACTTCAATTGTGGGATCTCCACTTTGTAGCGGAAGCAGTAGAAATCAGCAGATCTGGTTCAAAGTAATAAGTCAATTGTCCCATAAAAAAAAAGAGTGAATTTGTGAAGAAATTAAATTCTTGAAGAATTTGATTAGTATTGTCCCGAATTGACGATGCTAATTCATGGGAATTTGGAACGGAATGAAACATACATACCTTTTTCAAGCCTCAGTCTTTGCTTATCTAATTCGGATTAGTGGAATGTGGGAAATCTTGGACCACTCAGAACCGCGTTTCTTGGCGCATCTCTCTCCTAACTTCGGGCAGGCGAAAATCTGAAGCCTCTGCAGTTTGGAGAGGCGTCGAATGGCTGCCGCGGAAGGCAGATGTTTCATATTATTGCAAAGGGAAATCTGCAACAATTGAAGAGAGGAAAAGTTTCCCACCCACTCTGGCAAAGCTACCACTCGTACAAAGCCCAAAATGGTCAACTTCTTGAGAGCAGTAAGGTGTTGAATTTGATCAGGCAGCTCCCTTAGTTTGTCCCATCCAATCAAGCACAGCTCTTCAAGGCCATCATTGATGGAACTCAGTTCTGGGAATTCCTCCAACTCTTTTGAAAAATCACCAATCTCCAATCTCTTCAAGCTAGTAAGGCAGCCAAGGATCCCCCCAGGGAAGCTCCTCAATTTTGGACAATAAGAAATTTTTAATTCAACAAGAGAGCGCAATTCCTTTAAATCCTCCGGAAGAGAAATCAGGTTGTCGCAGTTTGAAATACTGAGAATTTTAAGCTGCGGCAATTCAAACAATTCTTCTGGAAGAGAGATGAGGTTAGGACAGAGAAAAATTTGGAGTGTTGTAAGATGGGGCAATTTCTTCAATCCTTCTGGAGGAGAGATCAGGTCTTTGCACCTTGAAATGTGGAGTTCTGTAAGAGAGGAGAGTTTTTCCAGTCCATGCCACGGTGCTTCTTCTTCATTAAAGCAAGCATATATGGCCAAGTCTTTTAGAGCAGTCAAGTGTTGAAGTTGAAGTAACAACTGACTCGTTCTCCAATTGTCCAAAGTCAACTCTTCAAGGGAGGCGTTTATGGCACTCAGATCTGGGAATTCCTTCATCTCTTCGGAGAAACTGCCAATTGACAATCTCTTCAAGTGATTAAGGCATCCAAGGCTCTCCTTTGGGAAGCTCCTCAATTTTTCGCAACTTGAAATTCTTAATTTAACAAGAGAACGCAATTCCTTCAGTTCTTCTGGAATAGACAGCAGATTTTTGCAACTCCGTATGGCCAACTCTTCAAGAGCAGTGCAAGATGACAATCCATTTGGTAGATCCTTTAATTCATGACAATGGACAATCTCTAGTCTTTTCAGAGAGGTAAGCCCCTCTAGACTTGGAACAGACTCCAAATTATCACAAAAAGACAAACATAACCGTTTGAGGCACTTGGAGGTTGATAGGCTATCTCCTATGCTGTTCAACACCTTGCAAAAGCAAATTTCAAGTGTCTGAAGAGATGTCAATGCATTTACTACAACACTTTTCAACTGACCACAGTGCTGTATGGATAATTCTTCTAGGGGTGTGAATTCAAATGCCTCATCTTTTATGTGGCTTAATTTACTGCATTGTTCAATATAAAGCCGTCGAAGGGAGGAAAATCCTTCCAGCAAGGGAATTTCTTCTAAGTTTTGACACCTTTTAATGTTTAATTTCACCAAATTCTTGAGCAAAAACAAGTCACTATGGCTCTCCAACATCCACGATGGCAATTCTCCACCTCCATAACCTAAGATTCCTAAAATTTGCAGATTAGAGGGAGGTAGAAGGCCTTCCAGAACATCTTTATCATGATTGCTGCCTTTTCCCCAGCTGAATTTCAACTTGTCAACTGCCTTCTCCTTTAATCCAGCTCTCTGGGCTTCTGATTTGTCTTTAACACACTCTAGATTATAAATCCCTAATCTTCCTCTGAGTTGGCTTAACTTTCCTAGTTCTTCAATCTTATGTCCCCTTTTCTCTCCCACGAAGAACCTTTGCAGTGTTTGAAGACTAGTCAATCTACCGATGTGTGCAGGCATACGATCTTCATCATTAAAGTAAATATGCCTCAAGTTCATTAAATGCCCTATTCCTTTTGGCGGCATTTTCAGAAATTTGCAGTTGGTGAATCTAAATGTTTGTAAATTATACATCTTGGTGATAAACTTGGGCAATTGTCTTATTGGAGTTCCTGAAATGTCCAAGTATCTCAGACTTTTCAGGTTTCCAAAACATAATTGTAATGGATCAGCATCATCAGCATCATCAACATCACAAACACTGAGAACTCGTAACCTTTTAAAATTTACCGACGAACTACTGGGAAAGCCGTAATTTGAAAACAAAGTCTGTAGCTTTTCAGCAACGTCTTCAAACTTTATTTGCACCTCTTCTTTGCCAAAATTGAGATTCAAGTGACGAACATGATGAGGGATCTTACTGCGAGGCTCCTTCTCAATAATCACTGTCTCAGAATAATTAATGGATTGTGCAAAATCATGAATTAGATCATGAATTTTGCAAGATTTAACATTTTCAAAAGAATCCCTTGCTTCCTCTTGAAATAGGGAATATGATAACAAGTCAGTGAAATACTTGGCACCCACATCCTCCATGGAAATTTCTTTAGATGATTGAAGATAGCCATACATGCCACCCACATCCTCCATGGAACCTTCTTTAGATGATTGAAGATAACCTTCAGCCATCCACATTTGAATTAGCTTCTCCTTTTCAATGACAACATTTTTGGGGAAAATAGAACAAAATGCAAAACATTGCTTTAAAGCTGGTTTTGGCATCCTTTCAAAACTCAATCGCAAGACATCCATGATCCTACGATGTTGATCTTCACCCAATACATTAACCTTCTCCTTAAATAACGACCACACATTCTCATCCCTTTTCTTGTACAAAGTGCCGCCTACAACATTTGCAACTAATGGCACACCTCCACATTTTTTTGCAATATCCTTCCCAATTTCTTCCAATTTTTGAGGCACAGCACCGTCTCCAAATGCTCTCTGCTTGATTATAGACCAACATTTATCAGCTTCCAGTTGCTTAAGATGATGTGTGTGTATGGAATCCATTGTTGAAGCAACATTTTCACTTCGAGAAGTCACAACCACTCTATTTCCTGACTTCTTACTTATTCCCAACAAACACCTCTTTAAAAAATCCCATTTCTCCCTCTCCTCATTCCACACGTCATCTAGTATGAGAAGATAATTTTCCCCCCCCTCTTTTTTTTCCTCTTTTTTTTCCTCCTTTTTTTCCTCTTTTTCCTCCAACTCTTCTCCAATTTTTTGAAGCAGAATATCAATATTTTTTATTGTACAAGCAGTTTTGGTAAGGGACTCCAACATTTCCCCTAAAATTCTAGAGACATCAAAATTTTCAGAAACACAAACCCACATTATTTTTTTTCCAAAATATTCACTTATTTTATCAACTGCACACGCTGCTTTGACTAAAGCAGTTTTGCCAATGCCCGGCATACCCACAACAGAAATGACAGAGAGGGCTTCCTGATTCCTAGAGTCAGTTAACAGCCTAACTAATTCATCAACATCTTCATTTCTCCCAACAACTTGGGATGAATCACTAAAACCCAAAAGAGAGTGGGTCTGTTGATTCACTCTAGGTTCAGGAACAGTAGTGTTTGCAAGTTTGTATTGCAGCCCCAACCGAGTGGCCCAGTCATTAATATCAGCAAGGTATATATTCAAATTCTTAACTCTATTAGCCATCCTCAGGCGAAATGCCAGAGGATTAGAGGGGGTAAAGAAGTAGCTGAACCTTTTCCACTTGGGTTCTTGAACTGCTACCTGACGCCGCAGATTTTCGTAGTCGATCTCCTCCAACACATCATCAGCTTCATCAACCACATATCGGAGCTCTCGGAGCCAGGGTTTCAGATGAGAGTTACCAGAGACATGCTTTTCGTCGGCGTCCAGCAGCACTCCCCTGATCATCTCCAGTATGAAACAAAACCTTCTAAAGTCATCTTTCCATTCCAAGGCCAGGTTTAGCTGCTCGGAAGCAACTCCAATCACCTTGGATACGGCAGCATCTACGACAGGACCAAGGATAAGGTCAGCCATAGTTTCAGTGGTTTGGAAAAGAGAATTGCTGGAGAGTTATAGCAACAGAGAAGAAGAAGATAATGTGATATACGTTGTGTGGCTTTGGAATGGATCAACGCAACTGGTATACATGCACCATGCGGTTGGCGTTTACTGTTAGAGAGTGAAATACTATTCTATATCTGCAAGTTGTCTCTTTCTCCTTTTTTTTTTTTCTTTTTTTTTTTCTATCTAATTAAGTCACATAAAATATAAACTGAGAATAGTATTATTCACCTTACCTCAAGATTAAGAAGTATATTATTTTAAAATTACGTGATTTTAATAAATATATATTAAAAAAATTAAAATATTATATTTTTAAAATATAAATTAAGGTATTTTTTATCTTTTTCTTTCTTAATTTTTTAGAGACAAGTGGATAAGTACTAACTCTTTATAAATTTAATATAATTAATAATTAATTTACATTAAAATTAATATTTTTAAAATTTAAAATTATAATCAATTATATTAAATTAAACGGAAAAGTGCGCGTCAGTCCTACCTCAAAAAAAAATTGGAGTCCCAAATCAAAACGACGTCGTTTCTCTTAATATTGCCCTTACCGTTTTTCACCCCTTTTTGGAATCACCTCCATCTCCATCTCTTACTCCCAGCCTGATTCCTTCCCCACCCGCGCCCGCTCCAATCTTCGCTATTTCCTTGCCAACTACTCCTTCATCGTGGCCGCCGGTTGCGCCCTATCCCTCCTCACCGCCCCGTTCTCTCTCGCTCTCCTCTCCGTAATCGTTGCACTCTGGATCCTCCTCTACTTGTTCAGAGAAGACCCTTTGGTGTTGTGGGGCCATAGCATAAGCGATCAGTGGGTGCTCTTCTGTTTGGTCGTCATCTCAGTCTTGGCAGTGTGGGTGTGCGACATGGTGGAGAATTTGGTCGTCGGGTTCGGCGTTGGATGCTTAGTTTGTGGGTTCCATACGGTTTTCAGGAAACTTGATGGACTGTACTTAGAAGAGAATGATGCCGTTTGCTATGATTTGGTACATTGTTCTGGATCTTCAAGTTAGGATATTAATTCATATTTCTTTTTTTTGGAGTGTGGCTTTGTTGATTTTATAAAAGGAAAGGAGGATCAAGTTGGTGCGTGTGCTGCTGCTGAATTTCCAGTTATGTTGTTGAAGATTGTGCAGAATTAATTAGAAGGCACTTGCTTGCAAGGTTTTTTTTTTATTTTTTTATTTTTTTATTTTTAGGAGGCTTTTGTTGCTTTGTGAATTGAAAGAGTGTGGCTTTGTGAATTGCAACGGTAGAATGGGGTGAAAATAGTGGGTGTTGGGGATTAAGTCGGTGGCGTGGAATTGTGTTTGAGAAATTGAAGGAATTGGAGGAGTCGAGGAAGTGAGGGAGATGGAGATGATTCCAGAAGAGGCAAAAACAGTAGGCGAGGGAGATGGAGAAGGAAATGATTCTAGAAGGCTTGGAGGAGTTGAGGAGGCGAGGGAGATAGAAATGGAGGTGATTCCAGAAAGGGGCAAAAAGCAGTAAAGGCGGTATTAAGAGAAACGACGTCGTTTTGATTTGGGACTCCAATTTTTTTTGGGAGGTAGGACTGATCTGCACTTTCCCGTAAATTAAATTTATGGCAGACATGTTTGATACACATGGAGAATATTCTGAGAGACTCATTAGCATTCCTCTTTCCTCTTTTCATTGTTCTTTCTAGACAATTGTCAGAAGGCCCAAAATTTTCTTTCTGGCCCAAGTTGCATGACCAAAGGTCCAGAGATTAGATCCATATATACTTAGGTCTTAGGTCTTAGGATACAGGCCTGTATTTAGTTCAGTC